TTTTTACGATTTATTTGGTTTAAATTAGAGTTAAATACCGAATCGATTCAAATTAGAATTTGGATCGCTCTGAAGTGAATTTATCCAAAGTGAATTTTTAATTCTAAATAGCCTGTTTCTTTTGCATAAGGTTAAAACATTTAAGCTTTTACTATTATTTTTCTTGCGGTTTAAATTTTTTGGTTTGTTTATTGTGTGAAACATTCTCATACAATTAAATATGTAAACCTTAAAGCTAATTTGTAAGTGCCTAAAACATGTACCTTGTATAGTTTGTTTTGCAAATAAGGTATTCTTGGTCTTAAAAAATACTTGTTTTTAATTGCATAATACCTGTGATAAATCGATTTTAATTACAATAAAACCTTAATTATCTAAAGTCACATAGTCCAAGTCTTATAATACACTTGAAATCTCAAGTTTTCAAGGCACAAGAAAAACACATTGTTTTGCCCAAATAATATATGATGTTAACTATAACATGGCTTAACATCTGTTCATGATATATATATGTTTAAAATCTTTTCCAAAAATAAATATTCAATAGGAGTCAGAAATTAATATTGAGGCTAAAAAAAAACCTTATCAAAATCTGACAAATCATTATTGGGATAGACTTTATATTTGAAGCTTGAAGGTGTTTGTAATAATCGACGAGCAACGCCTGTCTGTTACCTCAGCCAATCACATAGGTTTTGATGTTTTCAATCCTGTGTACCTCAATAATTATTCGTTAATTTTTCATAACATTTTTGTAATTTTCTTGAACTGCGACCCCAATGTATGTACTTTTTTGACTTCGTTGATTTTACATAGGTTCTAAAAACTGTATATTAAAGGCAGTAATTACGGAATACCTTACACATATACTAGCCTAAATCTCACAGACTTGGTTAATTGTGGTTTTATTGTAATTATAAAAATTAACAGATGAAAGTAATATTTATATATTTATTATTGGTATTGGGCTTGGTGTATATGAGGGCCAACTATGTGCCATGGGTTACAATTGTAATTAATGATGTATATAGACTTTTCTTATTGCTCAATCATAACTGAGTGTGATAAAAGCTTGTAAACAAAATAGTTGTACATAATTTTTCTGAAAGTTTGGTTTTTGCTGCATTTTATTCTCTACTAAAAGTCTGAGCCTTTATTTTTGTGCAAAAATTGTTGAGCGTGTTAGTTGAACAAAAAAAAATAGGGGGGAACCTCAATGCGTTGATATATTTTTGTAATTAAATAGTTTAATAGCATTAAAGATAATTTGTTAAAATTTTACCCAGTGAGGATGATTAATTCTATTAAATATTTTTGGTGCTATTAGAAATTTCGATTTTGATGGTGTTTAGGTTACTCACTTAAATGTTTTAAATAAAATAAAATTATATAACTGTTGAGAATATAGTAATGCGTATATAAATTATATAAAATGTTAATTTGATTAAAATAACTTCACAATATAGTAGTAATTTACAAATAACACGAAAATGTGTATAATTTTGTAAGCATCTTTGGAGTAAAAATATCTTAAAGATAAAATAAAACGAAAATGCTGATCAAAAATATGTATATAATTTTAGACAAATAATTTCAACTCTCTTTTACTTAAAATAGAAGGCAAGCGTACTGAAAAATTGCACAGATTTTAATAGTATATCAAAATCAATTTAATTTCTAAGCAGTGTTGAAGTTTTTAAATTATAGAAAACTGTATTATATCTTTCGAAATAATTAATTTCAGAAATATTTGCATAAATATTTAATTTTTATGATGATTATTAAACTCTCTAACGCTTGGAAAATTTAAGAATATTAATAAATATTCTAAAAAGGTTGGATTAATGCTTTTTTTGTGTCATATTTTATTGATTTACTACAAACAGTTATATTGTTTTGAGCTAACACTCCTATAACTCAAAAAGCACCATGGTAAAAAAAAATAATTTACAATTTGCTTAATTCTACGTGCCATATATTTAGGATGATTATGATCAAATGTCCTTACATTTTGTGTATTTTACCTTTTTTTTCGTGAAAAGCTACGAACTGCCAATCAAAACGTATCTTGGCCACCATACTTAGCAACATAATGAAACATTTCATTTCGAAATGTAATATTTATTACATTTTTCATCCATTTATTGTTTTCAATTTAGACAAATAATAATGTACAGTGCGCAAAAAAAATAAACGGGCCTCCTTAAATAATTTTTGATCTAATGATCGGATCTTCACGTTCTAGGACTCAATGTTAATGGTTAAAGGGAGTGACTTCAAATATGCTAAATTAGTGCAGACGATATTTTAAATTACAAAATCAGACACAAAAACGTACTTTCTCTAAAAAAACATTCCTTTAATTTCGACGGATTCAGATTTCTGAACCCCGAAATATAAGGGATAGCCAGAATCAGGAAATATGGCCCCAATAGTTTGATCAGTAGAGCTGTGCAAAGTTTGGATCTCTTCATATTTATTTTACTTTTTGCGTATTTCGCCATAACTCAAAAACTTTTTGAAGCGAATTCAATATGCAAATAATTGCTTTTAGTAAATATTTATTATCTTCTCTTATTTCCTTTAATAATAGTCAAAAACATTTTGAATTGTAAAGTAGATATTTTTTTTGAATCATTTTAAAGAATCTAATTTTACATGGCGAATTACAAAACGTGAGAGAAATGGGTCGAATAGTTCCTGAGAAATCTCAAAAAATTCGTATGTTTAATATTTGATTATTTTTTTTGCGCACTGTGCTATTATCATCCTGATGAGTGGTTTTAATACTTGATGCTTATTTAATTAATGATATCTGATCACGGAGTGGCTTTGCTAGCTATTCTGTGATCTATATTACTTAAATTGTACAATTATTTCAATTGAGGATAATGTGTGGCAATGTGTGCTATGTTTATATGTATGTCTTACTTATTTAAAATATTTCTTTTGTGAATAAAATTAAATTTTTTATGAAATTTCTGCCTCTTTTTTTATTTATTTAAACACTTCAGAAAAGCAAATCGTATAATGTAACAGTAACTGAAACTTTATATTGTTATTTTTAGACAATGTTATTTTTAGGCAGTGATGAAAGTATTCAAGAATGCGGTTTTGGAAAAAAATGCGATGGCGAAACATGTGTTATATATTTGCTGTTTCGTTTATAAAATTTTAGCTCTATCAATTTGTTTTCCTTATTATAAATTATTCTATCGTTATCTTTATAATTATTATAATTATTGTAAGAATAAATTATTGATATTAAAATAACTGATTTCTTTGCAGTTTCACAAATATAGTTCAGAAGTCGAAAAAAAACATTATTTTGATTAAGTAAGAATAATGCATTCGAAGGAAAAACATTTCATTTTTTTTACATCCAATTAAAGATCTTACTGAGATAATATATCTTTAAATATTTTAACAAGGTACTTTAATTAATTATTTTAAAGTAAATTAAAGACAAGCATTATTTTGAACCTCGATGCTCAAAAAGTACGCACTTGACATTCTCTTCCACATAAAAATAATAATATTTAAGAAACTTGTTCTTCATAAATTCCTAGAGATTACTGTTATTCAAACACCGGATGTCCAGTGGAGGACTGTTCTCAGAAGCAAAAGGCGATGGAGGAATAAATGCAAAATATTTATGCAGAAATTATGGAATTTTCAATGTCTTGCAGCGCCATCTGTTGGCAATCTTTGTAACTAAATTCCAGAATTTCTCTTAAAAGCATTTTA